ATGAAATTTAATAAATGTACATGAAGCAAGTGCTTCTTTGTGGTTATCCAATCCTGCCTTGCAAATGAGAGGTTGAATCAGCAGGCTTTCACCAATTAAATAAATAAAAAACGCTGATCGCTTGAATAAGCGCATGGGAGTATTATATAAATAATCAAATAAATGACTATGCAAAGGATATACTATGAATCTAAGTTGTACCTAATAATAGAAGTGTCAAATGAATTTTTTTTTTATTAAGCTTCAAATTAAATGCGTTCGCGAGTATTTTTTTTATACGTAACAATTTGAACGGTCTCATATGTAGTCGGTTGTCACAGTTGCCTATCTGATGGGCAACTGTGACAACTTTGCTGAGAAGCAAACGAAACCCAGAAGGCTCAAGGGGGGTGCGGGTCGGTGTAATCTTATTTTCAATAAAAGCGGGAATGCAAACTCGGAAACGTGAAGCTTTCTGGTTCGTAACTTTTGTAGCTCTCTTGAAGAATATAATGTCTCGTCAGACGAACGGGTGCAGGGGTGGCGCAGAGCAGAGAGCGTAATCATTAACGGAATGATCATTGCGGCCGCGCCCTCGCTCTGTCATCAACAGCTCAAAGCCAAACCCGAGTAAGCCATAATTGGGGGCAACCCGGAGAGGTTACGAAAGTAAATAAATATAACATGCATTTTTTTTTTAAAGTAAGCTTCCATATCAATGCTGTTCATGTACTAATTAAGCTGTGGCTTATTCCGGCCGTATCAGTCTACTGCAAAGCTCTATTCATCACAAGGAATTGTAAAGATGCGATCCTCCCGACTGTTGTACGCAATACATTTGATGTGCATTTGTGCACTCGTAATTCAAATGCTATGTACTTATCTGTTATTCTCTTGGTCTTTCTTTAAAGTCACGTAGATAGGTTCAAAGCAAATTATAATAAAAAACTACGACGTTTCGATCGCTTCTTTGAACCTATCTACGTGACTTTACCGAAAGACCCAAAGAATATGAATGTCTGCAGTCACGAAAGCTTTAAATCAATATTAACTGATCTGTTGTATGGAATTAGGTGACTGTGCCTCAGTCATACACTATGCTCTGCTGGGACTGACTCGTGTTTTCACATTTATGTTACACATTTAATTAACACTGAGTAAGAATAACTACATTTTTACAAATACAAAATCACAATTTAACCAAAGATACAACAATCTCTATTGTGCTGTTTAATCTTAATCACTTCCATCACCATGGAGCAGAGATTGAAAGGTTCGGTTTACTGAATGTGGAAGGCTACAGAAATGTTCTGATGGGCTGTAAGAATGTATGTTTCTTCTTAGTAAATTCAATGTTAGGTTTCGATTTAAAGCTTTCGTGACTGCAGGGATTCATATTCTTGGTTCTTTCGGTAAAGTCACGTAGAAGGGAAATAAGAAAATAATAAAACATTAAACAATTAAATTCTCACGACGTTTCGATTGCAACATAAGAAATCATCATCAGGTGTGAAAACCACAGGAAGAATTTTTTTTTTTAAGTGGCGGTTTTTTCTTAACGTCAGAACCACGGACAGCAACTGGCGGTTGTTCAGACGGAGGAGTCCATCGACCCTGAGGTCACAGGCTGTAGCATAGACACTGTGCAGGATAAATCTAAAATGTGTGCGGGGGAACATCAGCGCCACATTGCGACGGCAAAACACACTCAAACGCAATCATTAAACAGATGCCGTACTAACACTGCAGTTATCGAGCGGTGTGGAAGGGGGGGGGGGGGGTGCGCACGAGCGAGTGGTGTTGATTGAGGAGCGACCCTAACAACAAAGTTGAGGACCACTTTTAATGAATTGTATAAACAAGATGGGGGGGTGGGCATGTGCCGTGGGGCAGGCCGAGGCAACATACAAGAAGCTGCACAAGATCCCAACATTAACAACGACCATTCACCACCACCTCATGAATCCATGAGCCCACATGGCATGTTGTAAACACGGTCAAAGTTAAATAACAATGTCGTGCACTCATTATTATCTGTGGGTGTGGGGACGTGGTGTGCTTTCACGAGCGTTAATTATAGATCGTACTGCTTTTTTTTGTGTGTGGCTGCATGCAAAATTTTAGGAGCAAATTTTTTATTTAGCAGGAATAATGTCATGCCGACCTGATCTGGCTGCCTTGATATGATTGCCATTTGAAACGGTTTAACAATGACTCTAAATAAACAAATATAGAAGCGATAAAATCATCGGTTTGGACTGAGAGGGAAGCAGCAGCCAACATTTAAATATCATAATAAACAGACAAAAGTCTATCTCCCTGCACAAACATGAAATTACAAATTACAGTAGAACCTCTGGTCACGAACGCTTCTGACCACGACCAAATCGGATTCAGACCAAAAAAATTCACAAAAATTTTGAATCTGGTCACGAACACAAACTCGGGTGGCGATCAAACACGGCCGCGGCCGATTTCCCCTTCTGCGCCATTTTTTTGTAAGCGTCAAATTTCCTGTTGTTTGTATACAAACAACAGCGACCCACGTGTGGCCACTTGCTCAGTAATCGGTCTCAGTCAGACGTGCGCTCATTCACAGTTATGTATATAACTTTTGTTATATAAAATTCCTAGTAAGATATTAATTTTGTGAGTGTAGTCATACCCCTCCCCCCTCATTCAAGCCGTAATTTAGAGAGCGAAAGCGCTGAGTACGTACCTGTAGGCCCATGAGCCCCAATGATCAATGTGGTGGCATTCATCTGCATGTGTAAGCCAACAATAGGGAACTCTCAATTTATATCTATTGGAAAAATATAGTTAACTTCCCAATAACTGGTACTTATTTTATCAGCCCTAAGAAGATATGAGGCTGATGCAATCCTTAACTCAGAACCTTGTGATTGAGTCAGGTGCCCTTACCACAGCCCCACGCAAATGTTACATATGGTGACGCCGATGATTCCAATGACATTTTTGCGAAATCTTTTCATTTTGTGTCGATTGCTTGCTCCCAACACCGCGTTATCTTTCTCTCTACCATCCTTGCCTTGGAGTGTACAGGGGTAAATTAAGCCACAATCATAGACGTGACCATTCCGTGTTGCGCTCACGCTTTTGTGTCCAGACTTTTTCAACAGTGATAGAAAAACGGTAAAATCGTTCAGACTCCAAACAAAGTGTCCCTCTTGCCTTTTCCAGTGCGTTTATTTTTTTATCAGCAGAAGTTGCATTGAATCGTTGGTGTCTGAATGTTGGCTTGTTTCCTTTTTGGCTTGAGCAGGCGAGGTGCCAGGCCACTCATGCTTGACTTATTTTTTTATAAGAACAAAGGTTCCGTTCTGCGTATTGTGTTATCTGCTCCCACGCTTGCCTCCAAGCTGCACGCACCATCTATGTGGGAACTTTATGCACGTGTCATATTTGTCAATGTTTTTGTTAATATAATTTATTTCTTTTCTCTGTCTTATATTATTTTATTTAATCTATGCCCTATGAGTAGCAGTAATGCAGTGAAGAATGGGGCTTTTTTTACCCATTTTAATCTCCACAGTCCAAGAATATGCGATTATATTTCCCAGTCTCTCGTGTGTAATACCTAATTTTCACGGCCATTTGAGAATCGAGCTCTTTAGGCCCAGAAACAGCCCTGTGCTGACCCAGACAGTACACTGGAGCCCTGACACTCCATTAGCTTGAGCCCTCCCACTTTATCTTCCCCAGCCTCCTCCCTTGCTCGAGTCTTCAAAGGGTGCGGAAAGCGAAACTCTTGAGTTTAAGCCACACATGATGAAATCAGTTCCTCAAGAGAGGCAATGGTCTCATGCTGGTTAGAAATTACGGCATACATAAGGCATGAGTGTTGGCTGAGAGAAGCCTATTGAAGTGACTTCAGAGGGTGTTCTTTCTTTGTTCAATTTCCGAATCGAAGTTTCACTATTTAATTACAAGACTTCTGCAGTATAAATGAACATGAATCTTGGAACATATAAATAAAAAAGTAAGCATTTGACTTGTATCTGCCTCCATTTCTGTATTCTAGTTTCTAAATATATAGGACTGAATCTAAACAACACCGATTCAATGGCTGTGTTTGTTTGGTTACTTGTAAGCGGTCTTAGATGATGACAGTTCCAGTATGCAAGGACCATTTTTTCTCCAAACAAAAGCTGTATCCCATATTTCCACGTGCTTATGGGGATGCCACATTCTATATGCTTGTAGGGATTTCGGCAATCAAATGAGTTGTCAAATCCTGTAGTTATATGATGGCATTGATTATGATTATTTACAAAATAATAATGTGGATTATATTTTGGAATTAGTTATGGGTATGAGAAAGTGCGTGAAATTATGGGAGGATTTGATCCGTGTTCAAGAAATGGTGAATTTGTGCATATATCTGGGGAATATATTCCGTGGAGTCAAATTGAATTGCACGTGTTAAATTCGGTGATCATGTCCTGTGTTCACACTTTGGTTACAAATATTGGAGTGAAAAATGTACGCGTGTGTGAAAATACACAATGACTTAACATGTTGGGTAAAACAAATACATTAGAATGTCACTGAAGAGAAAGGAAAAACTTAACCATTAATTGAGCTGGCCTTCATGAAATGCAGAGTTGTCGTTTAGAGTGAGACAGTCTTAAATATACTAGAAATTATGGGTGTCGTGTTTGTAACATTGACGACGTAACAATGATTGTTAGTAGTAGGTGCAGTTACATGGTGAGGGTGCCCAACTCAGATCAAAGACGGTCACTGTATCGCACGCGTTCAGGTGTGCTTCTGCGGCCGTCTGGAACGCTCTTCCAATATCAGGAAGCCACTGTAGCTATGCACTTCTAGATCTCAAAGGAAGACTCATTTCTTGAGGACTGCTTTTTGTGTTTAATTTGTTGTCCTTCCCCGCACCTCCTATGAACACGGTTGGCTACGTACGATGCGAAAGAAGTCCAACGTACATACAGGTGCAGTAAGCTGAACCATAACGCATGCTGTGCTCATGTACCTTGCAGGGTTTTATTTCGACACGATGGAGATTACGCCACCGGCGGTGGGCGTTCACCGCTTCAATGCCGATGACGAGAAGGTGCGTCCTTGTCCGGATCGAGCGCGGCACACCCAAGTTGTGGCCACCACCAACAGTGACAGCGAATGTCTCTCCTTGTTAGTGGCCAGCCGCGCGCACTCTCAGGGTTGGCAGCAGCCAGCACGCTTGCCTTATACTCGTTTACGAACATGGACAATGCCTGCGGGCGTTGGCAGATTCACGAACCAGGGAGACGGATTTAGGCAACACGACAATAACCTGAACCTTATGTGCACATTGGATAACAACAATGGCCGTTCACCACTTAGTGGCAGTGACGTCACCACGGCGCTTGTACCATGCTAGGTACATTTTGAGGCCACATGAAGTGTCGAAGGCCTGCTGGCAGGAGGTCATGGAACAGACCCAAGTGCCTTGAGTTGACTGACTGAGATGACTGGAAAATGTACCAACTGTGTTCCCCGCTATGCCAACTTTTTGCGTTTTAGCCGCCCGGCACTCTGCTCGTTGTTGTGAGTGTCACTTCTCAGCCCTTCATTTTTGTTGAATGGCGACTGCTTCCAACTGCACAGTAGTACCCTTCATGAACCTCCTCCACAGAGGCTGATCTTGGCACTGCTTGTACCAGTCCAATCAGCTCCACATCCTTCTGTAACACATCAGTCCATCTCTTCTCTAGCCCGTGCTACTCCCCCGTTTAGCCCCATCTATGCGGCTGAACAGAAGCTGCTTGGGTATGCTGTGGCTAGGCATGCAGGCTATATGACGCAGCCAATGCAGCCTCGCTTGCTGATAACACACACTCTCACACATTAATAAACACGCTGTTGGCTATATAGCAGCTTGTGTATCGGGGAATCGAACAGAAATAAATGTTTCCACTCAGGTTTGAATATCGTTAGACGGGATTTTGGTCTTCAGTTTTAACTTATTCAAGAATTGTTTCATAATCAAATATGTGTGCATGTTCGCACAAGCACACACTGAGGTGAAAATAAACGCACGGAGATAGAGAAGCATACAGAGATGCGGGTATCGCTGTACGTTTCTCCACGTATTCGTTATGTGTAAATGTAATTTTAATTGCCTGTTATGCAATATTTGATTAATTATTTGTAGTATGCCAGGATATCTCCCATAACCAGAGAGATTCTCCACCCCAATTAGCCTGCCATCGAGGGGTTTTACCGGAGTAGTAAAGCAATAGCTACGTAGAGCCCTTTTGTCCGTTCACTGCCAGACGATAACCTCCCCACACTGTGCAGGATGGCGAATTGGGGCCTTGGGAGTGTTGGTTTAGATACCACTCACCACTAATGCTGGCTGTGGCTGGGAATCGAAGTCTGGTCATTTTATAAATAGAGCAAATCGCTAATCACTGAGCAATACCACTGTTTGTCACTACTGCAGGAGAAATAATCCTTTATTTAGATTTGTCCTGTTTGGAAGCTTTGACCACTTAAGCAATTTACTATTTTTACGTGTGAGAGGAGACTAATGTGCCCTAAGAAAAGCTACGCATGTGAGGCAATATCTCTGAATAGAGAGTGGATTTATGTTTGGAACGTCAAGTTAGAGTGACTTATAGTTTGCTGTGACGCGCACGTTCATAAGAGAGGCGCTTTTATCACCTTCTAAAAATACAAGCCCCATTCCTGCTCTTCACTTCGGCAATGGCTCGTCAGATGGTTTATCATTTGAAACAAATTTCAAAAAAACCTGATATTGCAATAATGATATCATCTCGAGCGTGCCACTTATTGCTTCGCATTCGACAGCTCCTCCAAATTCGTTACGGAGTCAAGTGCCCGAGGCCACCTGTCACAGAGCCCTGGCTGCTACCGTGGATCCGACATCCGCGACCCCGTCCCCATTTCTCTCCGCTGCAGTCATTTATACTTCATCTAAATCTTATCGTTACACAGCATGTCGAATGGTCAGAGTGCTCTGTGCGTTGGTAATGTTGCAATTTCGGTGTGGGGGGTGGGGTGGTTCACGCGCAGTTTCGGAGATCTGGAGCACGTCGGAGTTTTCTAGACTGTGTGTTTCTTTGAACAGTCTGGAAATCAGCCGCTGTGGCTGGGCTGCAGGAATGAGATGGCTCAGACAACACAACTGCTGGTTATGCCTCATTGCCACTGACGCTGCAAGGGTTTGCACCTGCGAACTTGACCCTTTCTGGTCGCACAGTCTCTGTACCGTATTATTTATCTGTGTCTCTGCGTTAATTTCGCAGCCGAAAAAAAGGAGAAGACCACTCCAATACTTATCCAAGCACATGAATGCATCATGGGACTTCCCTTTGCCAGTGTCAAAATATAAGAATAGGTTTTACCCTCTCTGGCAATGAAACAGCTGTGTTAAGATGTTAAAACACCACACAGAAATCTTTTGCAAGGAATCGTGTCTGCATTAAACACATATACTTGTGGTGAACATATAAACAAAAAAAACATGCTCTGGTTGTTTGCATGTTCGTCACAAGTATATGTGATTAATGCAAACACGATTCCTTGCATAAGGTTTCTGTTTGGTATTTTAACATCTTAACACAGCTGCTTTATTGCCAGAAAGGGTAAAACCTATTCTTATATTTTGATACTGGCAAAGGAGGTCCCACGATGTAGCTGCCCACCCCGAGCTCTCAATGTCCTGATGGTGCATTGTCTTTGTGTTGTTCGCCTTTTTGGCGTCCTCTGGTCTAACACCGTTTGACACGAGGCTCAAAAGAAAGGTGTCTCTCGTGTAGACCAATCAGTTTCAAAGACAATGCATATATTATATTCTTGGTTCTTTCGGTAAAGTCACGTAGAAGGGAAACAATAAAATAATACAAATATAAAACAATATCTTATTGTTTCCCTTCTACGTGACTTTACCAAAAGAACCAAGAATATGAATCCCTGCAGTCACGAAAGCTTTAAATAAATAAAAATGCATATATTATCAGAGTGTGTTTTTTATTTGCATTCTGACCACAAGTATTGTGGTTAATGCAGACATGATTCCTTGTAAAAGGTTTCTGTTAGGTGTTTTCACATCTTAACGCCTGTTTTATTGCCAGAAAGGGTCAAATCTATTCTTATATGCACATGAATGCGTTTACTGTTTTTTTTATATTCAATGTTATTATTGAAGGTATAAGATATATTTATGCTGCGAGGAATCATATGTAAAAAGTCAAATTCCACATCAAAAATGTCAATTTTCAAGCAAGCATTGGAGTGTTTCTCATCTCCATTAGTAAACCTGAGCTAGTAGAATGAGTTTTTTTCACAAGTGAATAGAATGTGTGTATATTAAGTCCAGTGAGGCTTGCAGTGTGCAGCAGGAGTTTAGCCACGAATGCCACTTGGCCCAGATTTTTTTTCACCAGAGTGTTTATTCCGTAACATTTTTTTTTGGGTCTTGGCTGGAATACCACACACACTTTGTATCCTGTGCCAGTACATGGTGGAGGATGTTTGGAAATCGAATGGGGACGGCTGCCCCGCGCAGATGTCAGGCAGTTGGATTGGCTTTTGCGGTCGCTCTCTCTCTCTCGACGGTGCCATGCCCCCGCTACGCGTGCCTCAACAGGTGCAGGCGTTTGCAGATGACGTGGAGGTGCGGGCGCTTGTGGAGGGGCAGTTCCTGGCCAAGCGCGTCCACGCCGAGGGCCTTGGCTACCGCACCGGTGAGGTCCCCCGCTCTCACGCCAGACCCCCCACAGAAACGGGGCCCCTCGCGTGAGCAGCCCCGGGCATCAATGTGTACGTGCTGCAGTCATGGAAGTACAGCAAGTAGGGTGCGGGCCTATCTGTGTGTATGTGGATTTTGAGCATTATCCTAACATGACGTGCATTGGTGTTCTCTCGGCCATGCTGTTCCATCACCCGCACACGAAAAATACTCAAAGGGGAATGAGCCACGCACCCCAAGCAGGGTCCTTCAGCAGAGGAGTCTTGACACTCACGGAGGCTTTCCTGGATAAAAAACTAACTTTTGTTATTATTCGCCTTGTTTAAGGAGGAAGCCGAGCTGCCTGTTACTTTTAGAATTATGGAGTGGTGACACTGTGGTTAGAATGCTCAACGCATGGTCAGAATATCACAAGGTTCAATCCTAATTAGGGATCTGGAAACACTCCTCATGTCTAATACAAACTAAATATGAATCAAGCCATTATCACCGCTCACTCTTCAAGATTATCAGGGCCAACTGCCGTCATACAACCTGAATCAAACGTATATGTGGATGTACTTTGTAAATTCAGAATTACAACATTCCACTATTCTTCTTGGCTTAGCAAATGTACTATCACGAAGTGGCATGCCAATTATGGGTTGTCCTGCATGGCATTTCCACTGCTGGCTTAGGGCTGCCAACGTTGAAGAACATTGCCTCATTGCTTATTTGAGAGCGTAGACACATCGCCTCTTACGCTCTTTGCTAATGCCAAAATCTAGGGCCTGTGCTTAACAGGGTTTAACCGCCTATGTGAACAATAAGACAGTTCACCCTTCCTATCAAATGCTGCACAATGAAATTTCAGCCTCATTAGCCCACACCCGCTATGCAGAGTGGTATAAAGTGAGCCGTCCACTTATCTTACCGGAAGGTCTAGAAGAATTGGTGTAGGGTGAAAAGGATAGTTTTTCATTATGGACAGCACTTAGTGATATTGACTGGGCACTTACAGAACAATTTAGAAATGTACACTTACAGAGCCTGTGCACCTGGTACACAGGAACACAGTTCAGTGGTGAGAGGAAGATGCTCTCGTCGAATACAAACGTATTGCATTTAAAACCTTTGTCAACATTCACTCTTACAAACAATCAAGTCGAACTCCCATCATTCGTACAGCTGTAATCAAATGCGTATGTGGATACACATGATGAATTCAGATTTTACAATGCGCAGCCACAACCAGATTCACAGATAAAACTGATTGCAAGCTTATAGCCCGGATTATTTAACGGCACGGACTGTATGACGGGGCCGTTAGGCACATTGTTTTGTTGCTTTTCATTACCAAGTTCAGCTTTCTAAAAGCGCTCCAATCTGCTCTGATCCGCCTCTTTATTTCATAATGTTTGTATCTTGTTTCGCCTTCAATCACTGCCCTATATGTACATATTCTGCTATGTTTTCCAGTTGCGTCCCTCCAACAGATATGTCTAATTGTTCAGCTGAAGTTAAATCATTGCATATTACCAGCTATGACTATATGGATAAAAAAACACGGGCACTAACAATGTGTTCATTAGGACGCTGTCTTTCCGAGAGCTCTGTTTCTTCACCTGAGGACGGCTGCTTGCGTTGTGTCCGAAACGTCGTGACAATTTTATTTTATTTTTTTTCCCTTCTACGTGACTTTACCGAAAGAACCAAGAATATGAATCCCTGCAGTCATGAAAGCTTTAAATCGAAGAGGAACATGTGGATTAGATACGCGAGTTTAACTTTTGACTGAAGAAAAGTGTGTGGGCCTGCTTTTGATGGTGCCTGGTGGGAAAGAATAACAACTGAGCATAAAGCAAAGGAGGGAACACGCCCAGAGGAGGTACACCACGAAGATGCAGCCGAGCCAAGTCGGTTGTTATGTCGCACGGCCATGAGAAATGACGATGAATTGGGGAGGCCATGATCCAGCAGTGGATGGATCATGGCTGATCAACCAGTAATGGTGAGGTGACAGTAGCAAGCTGTCTTTCATCTACTTGGACAGATATTCTGTCATAGAGCTACCAAATGAAAATTGGAATATAATAATATAGGGTTCTTAATTTAAAAAGTTGTGATTTCCAAACTATGCCTTCACATCCTCTTATCTTCAGAATCGGAATCTTTATGTATCCTGGAGGAATCCGATGAGCTATAAAGCTCTTTTTAACAGATGTCCAATAGGGGCGGGTCAGCAAGTTGCAACAGCAAACAATACAAAAAACGATCGGGGTGCTAAGTATATAAAATGTAAGCAAGTCACGAAAAGTAAATACATTTTAAGTATATAAGTGCACATTATATAAGTGCATACATTCCCGCCAATTTCCCTAGACTAAATGCAAGCTTGGGGCAAGGCAACAAAACAACAACAACATCAGTCCTAGACCACATCAAAGTTACATATCACATATTCAAATATATACATATAATGATAAAAATACAGTTTAAGATGCACGCAAAATATATATCCATGTGTCTTCAAGATACCATTATTCTCCAATGCACTATCGTCTTTTTGTATCGTTGTAACGTTCATAAATGACGTCACGCACCTAGGGGGGGGATCAGACATTTGTGACGATGTGTGACGAGGGGGGGGGAGTTGAGAAATGTGACGTCACATCAAAATTCGCAACTTTAAATAAATATAGACAACACGTTCTACTTAAATAGACTTTTTAATAAATGTTTTCTCCAACAACATCAAAGTCCATGCCACATTATATACACACTACAATGACAATGGTTTAAAGCGATTTGAAGCATGTTTTATTTTTTGGGGGGTGGGGGCAGAGCTTTGTGACGTCATATTTGAGGGGGGGGTCTGACTTTTTGTGACGCCGTGTGACGAGGGGGGGGTGGTCAAAAATCGTACAAAATCGCGTGACGTCATTTATGGATGGTCCCTTTATAGCTCATCGGATTCCTCCATTACAAATACATATTCTCATTCTGATGCACTTGCTACCGAGTGCACAAAGTAGCAGGCACCAAGTAGAATGTAGTGGTCTCTGGGCAGTCCCGGCCTGTGACATCGAGAAAAGGAACCCACATGGCCACCATCGCTCTTTTTGCCTGCGCCAAGTCGTATCTAAGGAGCCATCCATTTAGTAGGTACGCAAAAATCTATCAAAACTTGACCCCTCCCCCCCCTCCCTGTACACACGCGTACTTTTTACACCCCCCTCCACCTGCGTACGTACGCTTGACGCACCCCCCCCCCCCCTAAATCCTATAGAACGGCCGATATTTAATCCACGCAGAAACGATCAAGGATTGATAATATTAACGTGTTTAAGCAAACAGATAGTCCATCGCCGGACTATCTAACTCATTTGAAGGCCAATGTAGACACATTATTATCGAGGCTTCACCCCCCCCACCCCCGTTTCCTATGCTGTACGTACATTGTCAGTAGACCCCCCATATACGCAAGCGTACGCATTTGGGTTAACCCCCCCTCCCCCGTCCATGCGTACGTACTAAATAGATGGCCCCTAAGACCTTTCAGCGCTCCGATGACTCCAGAGCAAATTTTGTTTTAAAAGTTCCATTTTATTCACTCTGTGTGCCCATACCGTAGTGAAGTAGGCAGACTGTGGACTTTCATAGCATTGCCCTGTCGCCGTTAGTTTAGCGGCATGCCATGTTCAGAATTTGGCTCAATAATGCAGCTATTGAGTGCACGGGCGGTTCAATTGCACAAAGGCCACCAACCTGCCTGTTCAATTAATTTAGTAGACGCTACCATACATCCACGGGTTGAGTACAATTTGTGCATGCTTGCGGTTTCGGTTTTTACATAATACATGCAACAACGTCAAAGATACCCCATTTAGCATTATAGACTGTGGGGGCAAGTGTTGTTAGTCATCATAATAAAAAATAAATAATGACAGCTTCTCCAGAACCGGAACATGGCAAACCATTACAAGTGTGATAGTGAGCACATGTTATAGCTACCATGGCACATGAGATGGCAGCTTGGCCAGCACCATACACATCTGGATGTCCTCGTATTCTCATTACGAACGTTGACTTTTAAAATAAATACATTTTTAAGGCACATTTTATCCGTAGATCCCAATGCGTCCATGTATGAAAAGCAGGAAATGAGCAGAACCTGGGTATATGGCCAGAACTAAGGGGGTAACGAACAGTTTAAGGAGGTGAGTTTTCAATACAGACTTAAATATATCTAACGATTTTGATTGTCTTATTAGTAAAGGCAAAGCGTTCCAAAGATTTGGAGCTGCACTGACAAAAGTCCGATCACCCCAGGAAATGAGGCTTGACCCCAGAGTGCTTAGAAGACGGCGATCCAACGATCTCAGTGACCTTGTTGGATATGAAAACGGATTAGCTCCTGTAAATATTGTGGGGCTAACTCATTGAGTGCCTTGAGGAATTTGGGTCCAATGGCCCACCAGCTCACCATAATTGGATAAAACTTTAAATAATGGGAGCTGCTGTCAATGGCGGAGCCAGGATTTTCAGGTAGGGGGGGGCAACCCCTCCAGCAATGAAAAATGATAGGAGTTGTTAGTAAGTAAGGACTTGTCCCTTGATTTTTATTTGACGCGTGTGCGGCGATGGCACATGGCCTGGAAGTATGACATGATTTGATCGTTCGTCACTGTTGCAGCAGTCTTCGTCTCGACATACAGCAGCATGGCGTCATTGAGGTAGTCGGAGCCCATTGCGGTGCGCAAACGCGTCTTGATGATTTTCAGGACGCTGAAGACGCACTCAGCCATGGCTGTCGCCACCGACAATGTCAGTATCAGCCGCAGCAATCGGTATACAAGGTGGTAGCCGGCCGTGGCCCGGCCGGTCTGCACCAGCATGACCGATAGTTCAGGGAGCGTGCCCACATTCTTCAATAGCTCGTCCTTCTATAATCTCCCTGCCGAAGTGGACCAGCTGCTGATCGAGAAGCATTAGGTCGACGTCAGGAAAGTCGAT